CCGGGCGGGCGAAATGCTCCCGGGCTGGAGAAATGCTCTCGGGCTGGAGAAATGCTCCCGGGCTGGAGAAATGCTCCCGGGCTGGAGAAATGCCCGGGCGGGAATGCTCCCGGGCTGCGAGAAATGCGTCCCGGTCTGGAGAAATGCCCCGGCTGAGGCTCGGTGGAGAATGCCCGGGGGACGCCCGGGCTGGAGAAAGGGGTGGGATTGAAAGGCGGAGAAAGCTCGGGTTTGAAGTCAGAGTGGAGGCCCGGGGGGCGCCGGCTGCAGGGAAATGTTGCGGTGTTGCCCTCGAGGGTGCCCACCCCCGTCCGTCGCCGTCGTCGCCGTCGCCCTCGTGCTGGTGGGAAAAAGGGAGGCCCAGGGCTGGGCCAATTTTTAAGAAGGGTGGGAAAAGGCTGCCGAGGCAACGGTTTGAAGTCTAGAGTGCGAGGCGGCACGGCGGCGCGGCCTGCAGGGAAAATGTTTGTGATGTGTGTGCCTTCGGGGGGGTGCCCCCGCCCCTGCTCCGCCCCCGTCGTTCCGCCCTCCTCCACCAGCAGCGGGAGGGAGGCTTTAGTGTGGGCCTTAATCTACTTAGACCACTTTCGGGCAAACGGCTTGCCGCCGCGCAACAGCAGCAACAGCCAGCCGCGAGGCCGCGACGGCTGCAGGCAGCACCTCGGCGGGGCGGGGCGGGGCGGGGCGGGGCGGGGCGCGGGCGGGGCGGGGTGGGGCGGGGCGGGGGGGCACCGCACTACTACCAGGAGGGCTGATTTGCCTGAGGTGGCGTTGTCGTGTCGAAGTGGGTGGCGACGTCGGGGTGCCAGCCCGTGGCCCTTTCCTTTCCCAGCGTGCCCCGCCCCGCCCCGCCACTGCCAGGCCGACGGGCTGAAGGGCCGGCCGCGCCACCCATTCGCCGCCAAACTTCATCGCCCTCATTTGTGCCCTTTATTCGGCGGCCCGCCCCGACAATTACTCACCGTTCGGGCGCGCTCTCTCGCACCCCCGCGGGGCTCCCCGCGAGTGCGAGAGAGACAGAGCGACTTGGAATGGGCCGGCTGCCTCTGCCGCGATGCCGCATTGGCGTGACGTCGCCGCGTCGCGGTGTGGCGGGGTGTGGCGGGGTGTGGCGGGGTGTGGCGGGGTGTGGCGGGGTGTGGCGCGGTGTGGCGGGGTGACGCGACGACGCCGTGCTCGGAAATGTAGTACTGGATGCTCTCAATTGTTGTCGCAGTGAGGAACTGCTCCGTGCGTGCGGGAGAGTGCGTGTGTGAGAGTGAGAGAGAAAGAGAGGGGGGGGGGGGAGACGCAAGGCTGCTGCCGGCATGTCGCGGCTCACAAAATTAACCGAATTCAGCGACACACCTCAGAGGGTGCCGACTCCGCCTGGCCCTGCCGGCGGCGGGGTCGGTTCCGCCTAAACTCCGTGCGAAGAGCGGCGTACGCCTCGCGCTCGGCGCCGCGCCACGCCGCGCCGTGCCTCGCCTCGCCTCGCACGCCCCGGGGCCTCTCGGGAGGGCCCCACAAAGCGCGCTAAGTTTGGCCCTGCCCAAGTAAGGCACCAAGTGAGAGGGAAGAGACACGCCGCCGCCACCAGCGCCACCTCCACCCTCGCCGCCCTCGCCGCCCTTGGCCCTGGGTTGTGCCGCCGTGTCATTTGGCAGTGTGCCCCTCGCCGACCGCAGCCACCGGTGCAACCGCGGCCACCGCAGGGTACGCCCCAAGTCGACGGCCACGTGCGCGACGCCGCCGTGGTGGCCGCCGCGGTGGCCGCGGTCGCCGCGCCGCGTCCACTGCAACTGGGGTCCGCGAGGCCCTGCGTTGGCCGACCGCAGCGGCAGGCTGATTCCGAGAGTCGTTTTCGTCGCTCTGTTTCTCTCGAACCTGTAGGGCACGTCGCACGAGGGCGAGAGAGACAGAACGATGAAAACGACTCTCGAATTCAGTCCGCCACCCAGCGACGCCCTGTCCTTCTCGCACCCTGCCGGGCTGCCCCACGAGAGAGAGAGAGAGAGAGAGAGAGAGAGAGAGAGAGAGAGAGAGAGAGAGAGAGAGAGAGAGAGAGAGAGACGTGGGCGCATTGTTTGTAGCGGCAAAGCTCGGCGAGTTTGTTTACGCGCCGCGCGGCAGTGGGGTCGAAAAGAGAGAGAAAGAGAATGGAATCCGTGCCACTTCATAATTGCCGGATCCGCTTTGCGCCCCCACCTCCCCCTGCGCCTGATTCCTAGAGTCTCTCTCGCTCTCACAGGGCGTCCCTCAGGAGTGCGAGGGAGGCAGAGCGATGAAAACTACTCTCGGAATCAGTGTGCTGGCCTCGTCCGTCCTTGCCTGCGTGTGGCCGAGGCCGCGGGGGAGGCAAATTAATTCAATGAAAGCTGACGTGGGTGGGTATTTCTCAGTATTTCTCACGTCTGAGGACGTCGAAGAAGTGTCGAAATATGAGTGTTTTCGTTGGTGTATTCGCCTATTCGTTTCTGTCTCTCTCGCACTCGTGGGGCGTCCCGTAGGACGGAAGGGTGCGAGGGCTCTCGGGAGCTCCGTCGGAGCCAAGCCAGCAAGCGGCCTGCCCCGCTGCGCGCTGCGCGACAGCCGCCGTGCCGGCTGGGCACGCCCGGCGAGCGCGTGAGTGGAGCGCGCTGCCTACCCGGCACGGCGCTCTCCGGACGCGCGGCGCGGCGGGCATGTAGTTTGCTTGCCGCTAGTTGGAGTTGTTCTTCGCGTGTGAAGAGTTGGAAGGCGGAGCGCACCGTTCGCGCGCAGCTTCTTGGCCCTCCCTTGTCACTTTCGCTTTCGGCTTCCCCTTTCACTCCCCCGCCCCCTCACCCCGCAGACCTCCCCTTTCTTTTTCTCGTCCATTTCCTCTTCCTACCATTACCCCCCCTCCCCCTTCCCCCTTCCCGGTCCCTTTTGCACGTGCGCGGCGGGCCTGCAGCGAACGCGGCGCAACGCGGCGCTCCCCCAACAAGGGATCCACCCTCCCCAGCCGCACCCAGCCGGTCCACTGCCGGGGCCGGGACCGTTCCGAGCGGGGTGCCTCGTCCCTTCCGTCTCTCTCGCACCCTTACGGCGCGCTCCGCGAGTGCGAGAGAGACGGAGAGAGGCCTCCCACAACTCGGAATCCACCTACTTGCCGTGCCTGCCGGCTGCCCGCGCGCGAGGTGGGGCGTGCAGGGTGCACGTGGGCGGCCTACGGTGCAGGGGCGCGCCGCTTCCTGCCCCCTCCCCTCTACCGCCCCTCCCCCTCCCCCCCTCCCATTCTGCCCTTTTGTTTCCCCTGCGGTTTGGTTTTATTCCGCGCCGTGGCGGTGCTGCTGCAGCGTGCCGCGGGGCCGCGGGGCCCGCGCAGGTCCTCCTCGTCCCCGTCGCCCTCGTCGTCCCCGTCGGCGCGGTCCTCCAGAAGCTCCCCCCGTCCCGCCCCGCCCGCGGCCCATCCCATCATTTCCGTCGAGAGGTGGCGGCGGGGACAGGGGGCACACTAGAACAAAGAGGAAGCGACCAAAAGAAAGTGTCCAAAACACTTTATTGTTAAAGAACGAAACGTAAAATAGTGAGTCATTTCTAAAAGTGTTTGTTCTCATTCTCTGAGCAAGCACGTGGAAAGCGGCACCTGGGATTTCTGGCGTCTGCTGGGATCTCTTTTTCCTGGGTGTGCCTGGGAATCCCAGGTTCTGCTACCGCCGTGAGCACAAACTGCAAAGTCATGTGTTTGTGGCCTCACACAATTTTGAGCATGTGAATTTCAGCACTATTTTGCTCGTAAAGTCACGCGCCGGAAATTGCGTACGGTTCCGAAAAAAAAATATTGTACGTTAAAAGATCGTGCGCTAAAAAATGCATATTAGTAAAACACTTATCCCAACTTGTTCCGCTTGCCGTGCAAATAATTATCAAGTTCCGTTAGTGATTGTTTTTCTTTCGCGCTCGGCGCGTGCGCCGGGCACGGCCCGAAGGCCCCGCGGGCCTTTTTGCCCTCCTTCTCGCTCCCGAGGCGGTCTTCCCGCGGGTCTGGCCGGTCTTCGCCGTGATGGATGGCCTTTCGTTTGCGCGAGAAAGTTCGGCCGCGGTTTTAATTTTGCGCACCTTTGAGGCGCCGGGGAACGGAATGGGGAATCCCGCGGGAATCTCATCGCGCCCAAATGAAGCGCCTTTTGTTTTTGTTGTTTTGGCTTTTTTTACATTTTTGTTGTTGTTTGCATCCGGAGTTGTTTGCGCGCCTGGGATGCGAAGGCATGCCGGCCACAGCGCGCTGCGCGCCGTGCCGGGGAAACATTCCGAAAAGGGGCTCGTATCTGCGGATCGGCGGCGTGTGCGTGCTCCAAGTGAGTGGTAACCCTTTAGCCTGGCTGGCTGGCTGGCTGGCCGCAGTGACCCCAGCCAGCTCGAGCGCCGGGCCTTCGGGCCCAGCAACATGCCGGCAGCAAAAACGGAAGGCGAAGCTAATATTTCAGGGTGAGGGCAGGGGGCTCACCTCTGTGCTGGAGGGCGCTACACTGCACTGCAGCCCCTCAATCTGATAGCCCCGCCCCGCCACGCCGCGACCGCGCGCTCCCGCGAGGAAATGGAGAAACAGTAGTTGCAAGTCCCAATTTTTTTTTTGGGTCGCAGATGGCATCATTTTGAAACTCAGTCCCAACAATTTCTAAAAAAAAATCAAATTACGTTTAGATTTAAAAAAAAGGGTTTTTTGACTTCGCAATGTTTTTGCCCGCGTTGAAAAGAAAACCGGACATTCTGTCGATACATCCGGTAATTTGTTTTACAGTTGAAAGTACTTTTCTCTTTCGTCCGTCAGCTGCGTCACCGCGCGCTGACGTCGGTTGCTGGAGGTGCTGGTTAGGCAAGTGCAGCAGGCGAGTGCGGCGGGCTCACGCGGTCCAGACCGTCCCGACGCACGCCGTCATGCCGCGGATGGCGTCAGGATAGCCAATCTCTGGCACCTGCCAGTCACGGGCCGTCACATGCAAATCGCCTCGCCGACCTCCCGCCTTCCGGCCGAGGAGCCCGGAGCCATTCGGAGCGCGATGCTGGCGCGGTGCGGGCAGTGCTTGAGCTAGCGCCATGCTGGGGCCGCGGTCCGGGGTTCGACTCCCCTCTTCTTTCCACCTCCTCGCCCTGCTGGCCGTCGGCGTCTTCGTGCAGCACGTAAGCCTTCGCACCTTTCCCGTCCAGAGGAGGTGTCCTCAGGAAACTAATTTGAATTTCTACATGTACTAATTTTTATTTTTGAGTCCTTCTTAAATTTGGGACGAATTTTTTGCAACCAAATTTTCTTGAATTATTGCTGAGCTAACTTCACTAAATTTTGAAAAATGCCTAATAATCTTTGACCAAATTTCACGAAGAAATGTGACTAAAATTCGAGATTGTCCATTAATTTGGAAGCGCAAATTTTTCAGAGTTGTTTCCCCTTGTGTGTGCTTAGCGAAGTGTGACCGCGGTCAACTACAAAACCGTGATCCGCATGGAGCGCTACGGCAACTGCCCGGACGCGCCGGACGCGCGGGCCCGGTTCAACTTCTCTGAAGTGGTGCCTTACGGACGGACGTACGTCGGCAGAGGGACCTTCCTCATCGACTATCCTTACAAAAAATTAACCAAGGTAAACCATCCAAATGAAATTTTCCTCGTCGAAGTGTTTTGCGGTTCGTGTCTCATGGTTATACCGTTTCTTGAAACGCTTTCCTTCTCGAAGGTGGTCGCACGAATTCAGAAATGTGCCGATCGCAACGACCCGAACTGCGAGCTGTACCAAAACTGGCGTTTCGGCGAAGAATCGTGTTCGCTGCTGCTCGCCAAGAACGCCATCTGGACCCCCTTATTCCGCGCCCAGCCGAGCCTCTCGTGTCCGTTCGTGGTGGTGGGTTTGAGTCCCGCTGATGCCAATCTCCTTTCTATTCCCATTTTCTTAAGTTTCTTCTTTTTTTAGGGGGCGTACCAAATGGAAAATGTGACGGTAGACATAGAAAAGCTGCAAATGATTAAGTTTCCCGACAAGGGGTACTGGAAGGTGAGCGTCACAATGGACGTGGACAAGATGCCGATGATCAGCTGTCATTACTTCGAGCTGACCTTTATTAAAGTAAGAGTGTAAAAAAATTAAACAATTGGGACGAAAAAAGAAATTGCCTTTTGTGCGTTATCAAGCCATGAGCCGCTCGGATTCACCACACCGTCCTTTCACCAGCTGCAGACATCATAAAGTTTCGTCCACCGTGTTGTGCTTGTTTTTGTGTGGGGTACCTTGGGAAACGCGTGTCAGGATGGTAGGTACATGACAAACCATGTGGAGGCCACAAACACACTGTGGTGGTGGTGGGGGGACCGCATACGGTGCGGCGCTGCAGCCAGACTGGTGGAGGGGATGGGAGTGGAGTGGGGGTCCACATTCCCCCCCACCACCACCACCACCACGCCTGAAATAGAAACCGCAAATAAATCGTGTTATCTGCCACCACTAATACAAGAGTGTTCTCGCTGCATCTCGCAGTAAAATATGCGGCTGCAAAGGGGTGAGTGACCGGAGCGCCTTCACGTCGGGCTCCGCCTCGGCCTCGCCTTGCGACGCGTCGTCGTCCAGCAGCCGGAAGCTGATCTGCCGGCGGCGCTGCTGGGCGCCTCCTTCTTCTAAGCGGCTTATTTCGTTGGGCTGCATCTTAATTGCAATCTAACTCGCCCAGAAACAAGTGGCGTAATGGCTAAATCCGGGTGGGCGTGGCGGCGGCCCTCTCGACGGCCCTCTCGGCGGCGTCGACGGCGGCCCCCGGGGACGGCGGTGCGGAACAAGCAGCCGCAATCACAACGAGTCCGTGTCGAGGTGCGCGGCGCCGCTGTTTGGCGCTGGTGTTGTTGTCGGACACCGCATCAAAGCGGCGGCAGCAAGGCAGCGGATGCACAACGCAACTTTGCCGCGTCATTTCATGCGGCCTTCCCTCGGCAATAATTACAGGGCCGGCTGGCTCGCCCCAGCCAGCAAGCCAGCCGGCAGCCAGCCCGCCGGGCCGAGGGCGCCGAGAGCGCCGAGGGCTAGCCGTGGGCGCTGGGCCCCTAGCAGGCACATCAAAGCACCCTCAGGCCCGCCGAGGCCCGCCACCCGGCGACACTTGTTCAGCCGGTAATGGCGCCATAACATCCCCTTGGCCGTGCTTGGCCTTGCTTTCATGCAGCCCACCTTGCGGCACTGAGGCTGCCGAGTGGCTGCGCGTGTTGGTTTGCCCGCGGAGAGGACAAAGCAGGCCTTGAGCAAGGGGTAAGTTGGGCAAGAGAAGTGCAGGGCCAGAGAAAGGGCACTCTCCCGTGGCCAACTGCGGTGCCGACATCTCGACATCCATTCGACTGGGGAGATAAACTGGTCGAGGGATCGTTCAAAGTCAAGATCATCAGCTCCATGAGGGGCTACTTTACGTACCCTGTACTTTTCACACCCAACTTACCCCCAGGCAGCCAGTTTCCAAAGTGTCACTAGGGGTCGCTGCTCGATCCAAATTGCCCTCGGTTTGTCATACATTGCGAGCGACGGTTTCTTTTGTCGATCGAGCAAGCTTGTTCCTTTTTTTCGGATCCCAGGCGCGGTGGGCAAACTGCGGAGCAGTCGCCTCTCGTGGCACACACACTCACAGTTACTCACGCTAACACACAAACACGCTTGAGTGACTCTCCATGTGCGTGTGAGTGTGAGGGACTGTGTTTAGCAACTTTGTCGCTCAATCAAAATGGGACCCGCACAGGTGTGCCCCCGGAGACGTTTACGACGTGTTGCGGTTTTCACGCTCACGAGTGTGTGTGTGTGTGTGTGTGTGTGAGAGAGAGGAGAGAGAGAGAGAGAGAGAGAGAGAGAGGAGAGAGAGAGAGTGTGTCACGAACCACGTCGAAATTAAGGCAGCCTGAATTGACTCCCGACCTACCGACAGGGGCGCTGCTCCTCGTAGAATGGAGCCATACGGCGCCACCCTTGTCGGCACGAGCGCGGAGTGCGGAGTGGAGGCCCGTGCGAAGCGCGAAGCCCTCGACCGCGAAATGTCGGAAACGGTGACGCAAAACAAGCCGTGTGACGGCACGGTTTTTCTCCCCCTCCTCTCAGCAGACTCACCTCACGGCCCTCGGCCCGCGGGCCCGCCGCCGCTGCAGCCACTGCGGCGTGTTGTGTGTGCGCGGCTTAAAAATTTACGGTTATCGATATTGCAGTGGCGCTGCGCGTCCCGCGGCGAGCGTCAAGATGGCCAGATAGCGGGGGAGGCTCGCAGGGTGGGGCTGGGGAGCGGGGTGAAAGGTAAACCGCAGGTAGCACACCGGCAAAAACAAAACAATGTGTCCTGGAAACAAGGGGCGCCGATTTTTAAAATTATTTTTCGATTTTTTTTAGTTTTACGTTTGAAACGTTTGGAGTCAAGCCACTGTTTATATGCCAGCACGCGTGCCGTCCCGCCGCGTCCCGCCGCCCGGCCATATCACGATCAATGTGAAAATGTGCGCACTGCAGCCAATAATCTCTTTGTCGCGCTGCTTATGCGGCGCATCGCTCCACTCACGTGCCGCGATAAGTAAATTACCCGCCTCTTCTTCTGCCGCGATTCTCAGCCGAAAATGAAATAAAAAGGCGGTTGCGGAGCGGAGCAGACGACGCGTAGATGTGCAAATGGCGTGCAGTCGCGGCGTTATGGCAGACGACGTAATCTGCTACCCCCTCCCCCACGCAACAACATGGCACCTTTTTATTTTTCCCTCTTGCTTCTCTGCAGTTTCACCGTTTGGCACTCCGTTTCCACCAGGCTGCTCCTCCTCTCGGTCTTTCGCTACCCCGACTGTGTGTGTACCGTTCTTCCCCGGCGCAAATTCAAACACAAAGCTATTTCTGTCTTCCCGCCTTTCTCTGTTATTGTCATCTCGCACCGAACTGCTTGCTTGCCTGCTCCGCCCCGCCGATGCGTGTGTCCGTTCCTGCCGAAACACGATTACACGATCCCATCTGTCGCTGCGAGGGGCCCAGCCCCGCCACGCCCCGCCACGCCCCGGCCTGTAGGAGGCGTAGAAGAGACCCACGCTGAGGCCCAGACACATGCAGCCTGGTGGATGAGCCGATTAACTAACACTGCGTGCCGCGCATATAGCCAGATTAGCAGTCAGCTCTGCGTGTGTGTGTGTGTGTGTGTGTGTGTGTGTGTGTGCTGGAAGTGGACATCCAGAAGATTACTTTCCCAGCGGCACACCCCGAGGCAGAGTGTGTTTGTGTGTGTGTGTGTGTCGCCATGGGAATAAGGTTCTGCGTAATTCCGCGCTCACGCACACACACACATTCACGGGAAACCTGAACACTGCCGTTTTGCCTCACGCCAAGTTTTGTTTTTATAATCATTTGGCGCCCCGACCAAGCGGCCTTTTCAACAGCGGCAGAGCCGCCAAAACGGAGTCGAGTGTCTCTTTGACGGGTGAAAGGGAAAGGAACAGAGTCGAAAACAAAAGCAGGGCACCTTAATAAGTGGGTCTGACTACACCGGCGGCTCTTTGACGGCCTTCGAGATGGATCTCACGGATCACGGAAGAACACGGAAGGACGGAAAGTAGACCAGAGGGCTCAGCTCGGCGGGGAGAAGTTGTTGTCAAAAGTTGACTCTGCCGGTTAATAGTTAAGGGCCACTCCAGTGACTTGGCGAGCTTAGCAGTGTGATGGCGGCCTTTTGGGTACCTTGCGGTGGCGACTAAAGTCCGACGAGAGTTAGGGAGGGTTAAGTGGGCAGGAAAGCGTACTTCGAGCCAGCTTGCGGTGGGGGAGAGCCTGCCCATTGAATTATCCATGTTGTCGTGGGCAGGCGGAATCGGCTAACGGGTTACCCACGCCTTATTTTGGCGTAAACATGATTACGTATTCCCACCCGATTCCCGAACAAATTCCACCAGAAAAGTAAGGGCTTTCAAAAGAATTCGTGGCGGACTATTCCTTTTGTTTCAGACCAAATTCATGTGGAGTCCAGAAGAGAAGGTTGGAAGAGAAGCTTTATTCCTTTATTTTGAAGTAGATGGTCCACGATATGGTGACGTGGTCCTTTGTCTTTGCCATGCCACTGCAGGGCAGGTAGGGGGTGCGCTGACTTTGTATCTGCCCGACTAAAGCGAGGCGCTGTCTGGGGATGGGAGTGTCCTGCAAAGAATGTAAAGCACTAGATTAAGGCGAGCACTCCAGTCTGGCCCGCACCCCGCCCCGCCCGGCGAGAAAAAGCAAGCGGTGGGTGATTTAGACGGACGTTGGCCAGGTGGACCGGATCTGCTGCGGCGCTGAAAGGAAAAAAGAACACACATAAAGTGACTGTACCTTTTTATCGTGCAAAGAGGGGCTGAGCTCCTTGAAAAGGAGGATCCATCCGAGAGCAGAAAGGACAGCGAGGAGAAAGGGGCAGAAAAAAAGAGAGGAAAAGGAAAACAGAGTCAAGTACATGAGCTGGATAAATGGACCTCTGCTGGACAACGCGCTCGCTGGAGTCTTGTGGACAAGAATGCAAACAGTCCGAGGCGAACGCATTTGTTTGGCCCTGTCACTGTTTCGGAGTCGCCCTCGGCCTCGCCCGGAGCCTGTAAAGTAAACACTTAAACTGGTGTTGAAGTAGTTCATTTTTACTTGCTACCGCTAGAAAACTACATGTTAAGCTTTTAACTTCTTTCAAACACACAAGCACACAAAGGGTTGTGGCAATGCCGTGTGAAATTCTCTCAAGATTTATCACAGTGTGCACCAGCGGTTTCACCCGCTTTTCCTGTTTCGCTCTCCTGTCGACTTTTCTTCTCGCAGTGTGCGGCAGCAGACTGTGTTGGCGGAAACCGTAAATTGAATTGCGTTTGGTTACAGGCGCTGCGACCACCATGCCGGCCGCGGCGAGCGGCGCAGGCGGTGGTGGCCTCGGTGGGGGCCTCGGTGGGGGCACCGACACCAAGGCGCGGGTGCGGCGCTGCTGGAAGACCCACGTCAACAGCCTGTGGTCCGTGTGGTACGGCATCATCGCCACCGCCCTGCAGGCCTACATCGCCGTCCAGGCCGCCCGGCGCTTCCTCGGTAAGTTCGACGAACTACTGTGTCTGCGTAAATTCAGTCAGTGCTGTGCCGCACCGAAAGGAGG